GGAGATTGTAAATAAATATCGGCTCGGTCAATTCCAGGGTGTAACGCGGCTTCCTTGAAACGCGAAAACTCGAAACCCTGGCGAAGAAGGGATAGAGGAAGGAGGGAGGGAAGGAATAGGATATAGAGTGGACGTGCAAACGTCTCGAGTTCCTCCTCGTCCCGTTTCCGGTCGCCGAGTCGGACGGCCTCGAGTTTCCGGCTCGCGTTACTATATAGGTATCGACTCGATGCACCGATCGATCCTTAATTGCCCCTCCTGGAGCGCTCGAAAAGCGGCTTAAGGCTCCAGGGAAGTCTGGGGAATCTCTGGGAGGACCTGCTCCAATTTAAGCGATTGGAAGGGCCATTCGGGAACTGGAATACCGGAAAGCGCGCCAGGCGGTGGAAAAATTTTACGGAAACCCCTTTAACCAGTTAGCTGTGTTTGACGAGTATACTCGTCATGAAAACACACGTTTCCAATAGGTCGACACAGTTAACTGGTTAACGGGTCGTTGATGAGAGATCCTACGGGAAACCCTTTGAACAGTTCCCGGGGAACGGATGTTAGAATTTGACCGAGGAAAAACCCTCCAGGGGTTGGTATACAAAATTCTCGAATTTCGACGCCAAATGGAAATGGCGTCGGGGTCGCGCGAGAATTTTGCACGGTCGCCAACCTGAAACCACAATTTCATTTTCAACTTGACGGTCGCCGGTTATCTCGCCGTTTGAAAATTATCCCCGGATATTGAAGTCCTTTCCGAAATTCCCCCGGATTATCGGCGGTCGCGCTGCACTCGTTGCACAAGCCCGAGTGCATGGATTTGCACGACCTGCAATTTCGGTCTCATTGACCGAGATCAACGATTCGCGACTACCCCTTATCGGAAAGTATCGGTTCGGTCTATAATTTGCGTATTTAATACTTAACATCGCGATTGTTATAGTAATTTTTAACGGTTGAATTAATGAAACATGTGAAATGGTGACTTGGTAATGGGTAATTGTCAATTTTCCCCACCCTTCAGAATTAGCAATTGGCGATCGACTTCCTCATCGCAATGCAACCTCGGTATTTTGTTCACACGTAGAAATTATGATTCTTGCGCCTTTGTCACAATGAGGAAATTCCCCTCGGTGCTCCTCAATGGATGCAATTTTAAACGTTTGCCATTATAGGAAAAAAAAAAAGAGCTTTTACGATGTGATGGGATCGCGACGTGACATTTTAATTCGCGATTCCAGCGTTTAGAGCTCGCCAAGACATGCCGTAAAACAATCGCCTCGTTTTCCCGACCTCGGTCGAATGAATCGATTCGACCGCTCGCAGACGGCATGTCGGAGAAGCTTTTAACGACTCTCTCGCGAATTCACGAATTCGCTAATTCGCGCGTATCTCGCCCGCCGGGCCGATCGTAAATCCCGGCCGCTTCGTAAAGCCCGGAATTCGCAAACGACACGAAGACTGCCATTACGGATTGCACCCCGCTCGCAAATCCACTCGGGAGACTTAAATGCGTGGGCGAGTTGCCAAAAGTGTCCGAGGCCTGTACGAAACTCGCAGAAGCGAACCCCGGATTCGGGATTGCGCAACGTCCGACTCTTTTGCAATTTCCTCTTCCCCCTGATTTATTTCCCACCCCCCACCCCTGGAAACTTAGGGGGCAACGAGTGTCGAGATTCGAAAATTTTCCCACATTTCCGTGCGAGGTAAAAAGCGCAGAGAAGAAAAATGTAAACGTAAAAGAGGAAGGGGATTCGTCCCGCGGAGGCTGCGCGCGCTCCAACGGAAATTGCAAGAGGGCGGCTTGCCAAATTCCGTTGGAGCGCGCCGGGTTTTCCTCCCGGCCCGATTTATGCGGCATTTCCGCGCCGTTTCCCCGCTTTCTCAGGATTTCCTGCGGGCTCTCTCGGCCTCGGATTGATCGCCGATATGCCGAGTGAAAGGGAACTTAGCTCCGGAGTAAACGCAATCACAGAGGAAGGCGTGGCTCGTGTGTGCCCCGGTGTACCTCGAGTGTGCAAACTCGCTCCGAAATTACGACTATTCTTGCTTAAAAGCCGAGCGGTTTGTCGAGAAATTGGAGCAAATTGTTGGAACGCTTCCTGGAGCGCCGTGGAGTCCGCTAAATGGGCCGATTTCTAATTTCGCAACCTCTTAACGAGTCGGATGCGCGAGTCGGTTAACGAGCTCTTCTTCGTTAACTTTCTAACGAGTTGACGACCCGTTCCCCACTTACGCATCCCCTGAAATATCTCATTTCTCGTTATAATCGATAATCGAGACGGCCAAAGGAGGGCCTCGATCGGGAGGAAATTAATTTTCGCATGGCGAGCCGAGTGGACAATTCGAGGAGCACTCGAAAACGCGGAGTCGCCTTTGCGGAAAAATTCGAGGGGATTCGAGTGGTCCAGCATCTCGATCTGGCGAGCTCTTTGATTGGACCACGTGGAGGGTCTCGCCCTCGACTCGTCCCGCTCGAAATTGATTCGATACGAGGCACGGATGAGCCTCGTTGCCCTCCCCCACCGCCTTAAACTTCGGAAAACTCGGCTAGCTTCTTATATATTTTCTTTCGTAAAATGAAAAGGTTTCCCTATTTTTATTTTTTTTTTTTCGCCAACTTTCCCGACGTTCATTCCTCGCGTCGCGTGAACTTTCGTTCCCGAAACTCGCGCGCCTCTCCGCGCACGTGCGCGAGCCTCGGCCAGTTCGCGTGCGAGCGACAAGGGAGGTTATATTTACACGAGGGCTGATTCACCGGCACTTCATTAGCGCGAGTAGGCTGGAAAGCTCGACCACTGCCGGAGCGGACCGTCCCGGACCGGTCCCGAGGTACCAAAGTGGAGCGTCGCGATGCACCGGCTATATCGGACGGTCCCGGGGCCAGAACTGAATCTGCCAAAACTAGAAATCCGCGAATCTCGCGTGATTATAATTTTTTCAAATTTCTTCCTTTTTATTATTAATTAAAAATAATTAAAAAGAGGAGTCAAAGGGGATAGTCGCGATGCACCGGATATATCGACCGATGGCGGTTCTCCTCCCCCCTGGAACTAAGATAAGTCTCCCGGAACTTAGATCTATACATAATACAAAATCAATTACAATTAATTAAGAAGTCCTTAAGTGAAGTCACAGTCTCAGCTCGCCTCCCCCCAGAATCAAGATGAATCTGCTAAAATTCAAATTTGTTGAGAATTAAGGGAAAAAAAAAATTAAAAATCGGCGTCATCGAGCCGGGTGCATACGTTATCACGCTACCCTCCAGGGGGTGCATAATCTCGTGCCCGAGTAAAGGGGGAGTATGTAGGAATTGTAGCGATTGGCAAGGTTTAGGGGACGAAGGAGTCACTTCGCGGGGTTGAGAGGAAACACCCTCGTGGACAAAGACGCGTCGGGCTCGCCCCGTGAAACGAAACGCGCCGATCCAATTGCAACCCCATGCAAATCGGTCGCCCCGGTGGCAGGGGGTGTTTCGCCCCTTTCGGGCCTGACCGCCCCCGCAGTCGGCCGTGTCGCCCCAGCCACCCCGAGTGCACCTCGAGGGCCAATTCTCGTAAGGGTTGTTTCGCCGTCCTTCCCGAGGGTGGGGGCGAGAGGGAGAAGCGCGCTCTTCGGCTGTCGGGAAATGGAATATCGGAAAGGGGATGCAAATTTCCGGCGAGCGGGAAGAGGGAGACGGCGGTATGCGCGGGGGAGGGAGAGGGAGGGAGAGAGGCGATGCAACGGGAAGGGGGAGGACGGGTTTACGGATGAATGTCCCTGTTTGCGCGCAGTTGTAATTGCAACGAGCCGTAATTAGTTTTGGAAATTTAATTATTTCCGCGAGGACGCGGTCGTCGGCCGCGATAAATGTTGCCGTCCCGGCCCGGCAGGAAACTGCCATGCCGACGCCGCGAGGAGACGATGATTATTGCCGACTCGGACCTTTGTCTTTGCTCGGCGACAAAAGTTCCTCATTTTTGCTGCTATCCCTCTCTCCGCTACCATTTCCTATGTACAGAATATTACCATCTCGTGTCGCTTAATTCTTTGCAGAGATGAAAAATACGTCCTCCACCTCCTCCACTCTACCGTGAGAGTCGGCTCGGAACGCCCTTAATCCCCGGATTTCATTTTTATACTTTTCCGTTACAACTTTTCCGACGTTTTCGGAGGGAACTCTTCTTTCAGGAATGTCGGAGAGTGGAAGTTTCGAATTTCGTCGGGTATTTCCTTTCTTTTCTCCGTTTCCTCCTCGAAACGCAGTCCGACGCCCTCGGCGCGAGTCTCGTGCTTTCACGGAAGTCTGAAAGAAAGCTGAGATTAAGCTGCGAAGGGGGAAAGCTTAGAAAAGCGGAGGCCATAAGCGTTCGCATGGAGGTTCGCGCACCTTGGAGGTCGCCGACGAACTTCGCGGTGGGCGAAAAGCTCCCCAAAAGCTTCTTTGTCGCCCCCATGAATTTTCGAGGGGTCCACTGAAAGGCCGCCCTCGGAAAATCGCAAAGCGTCGTCCGACCCATTAATTTTCAAAAAGCTCGCCCTACCCTCTTCCCTTAATCCCCCTTCCCAAGTCCGATATCCACCGCCCTTAACGTAATTACATCTCGCAGCGATATCCACGGTGATTAAGGTGATATGAAAATGGTGCCAAAGAGGTCTCGTTTATGAAACTTTTCTTCGAACCGAGTGTACGGAATCGTTTCAAACATTACAATGTAAACACGGAGGGCCTAAATAAAGTCCTGACACCCATGAAACAAAAAATTTCCTTTTTAATCTGTTTATAGATATTTTTAAAATATTAAGAAAAAAAAAATGGAATTTCATGGGTGTCAAGACCCATGTTCAAAGGGGTAAAGTTTCGAGGGATTCGGTATACCCTGTTCGGAGGAAAGTTTCCCGAATAATTACCCTTTAGATGCCACTTTCGTATCGCCTTAAGAAAGCTCCTGGGGGAATTATCCGAGGAATTATTCCTATGAGCTTTTTGCCTCGACGCGAGCGATAATCTCTTGTATTTTCTGTTTCAGCCATAATGGCCCATTTCTTCTTCCTCGCTGCGTTTTTCTGGCTGAACACCATGTGCTTCAACATCTGGTGGACCTTCCGGTGAGTCTCGATTTTTCCCCATTCATTATGTTTCTCGTTTTCTTTCCTTGCTTTCGGGGAGCCATTTGTACGCGCGATACCGCGATGGCGGCTTCGCGCAAAAAGGATCTCCGGAGTTTCGGAGAGGTAATGTCGTAACCACCTACGAGAGTGTTAATGTCGGAGAAATTGATTTACACCCAGGCGGCGGATAAGAGAGACAGAGAGGGAGAGAGGAAACGGGAAGAGAACGACACGGTCGTGATCGTTTGCGTAATGCGACGTGTCGGTCCCAATCGGGACTCGTACCTGTTATCGAACGCGGTTCGATTACTTGGATGCCTATCAACGAACCTCAGATGCGATTAAACATATATAAACTATATCCCGACGGATGTCAAGACTCTGGCTACCTTCTCTGACTTTTGATTTCACCCTTTGAATTCGGTGCCCTTTTGACGTATGGACGAAATTCGTCAAACCGGTCAGGCCATATTGGACCAAACGTCGGACGCGTTCAGGCGTCTAGGACGTATTGGGTTGAAATAATCCAATGATTTGGAGGGATTTTTATTTCTATTTTTTTTTTATTTTTATTAAATCGACACGAGAGGATTTTAAAGTCGCGTGATTCTTCGTCGAGGTTATCCAGGAAAACGGGTTCTAATGCAACGGATGCATTTATGAGAAGGTACCTAGGATGCGTTCCCGCCGTGGGATTTAATTTCTTGGATTTAATCGTTTCTTACTAACGGCAGGCCTCGAGGAAGCGATTTCCACGTCTGGTGCGTTAATCAAGACGCCGTTGCGAAATCCGCGGAGGTTAGATCACGTAAAAGATCGGCGGGAAACGGCGGCGGGGACCTAGGTGGGATCAAGATCACTCGGTCGACTGGTTAATGCAATGCGGCACATCCGCCGTAACGGAGTCGTTCGTTTCTCTCTCTCGCAGCACTTCGCGCGATCCGTCCGTCTCCCTCGCGCAGCACTTCGCGCGATCTGTTCGTCTCTCTCTCGCGGCTCCTCGCAGGTACCGCTTGGTCTCTCCTCCAGTCACGGATACCCTCTACCCCTCTCTCTCCCTCTTTCGCCTCGCGCCTCGCTCCTTCTCTCTCCCTCCCTCTCGCGTCCCGCTAATTCGTTCGCACGACTTGACGCCGGGCTTGCGAAAACCTATTCTTTCCCGGGAACGGGAGGAACAAAAGGAGCAGAGGAAAGCCGATTCGAGGCCTCTCGATCTGATTACTTCCCGGCGAAGATGCGGCCTCTCCGTCAACTCTTAATTGCCGGTGGAGCCGCCGCGAGATGTCGCCGATGTCGCGGGTTTCCTTTTCACCGATTGTCTCGAGAATCGACACGTGGAAACGTTCACTGCCAAGGATCAAATTGCGCGGTTTTATTTCCAGTTATTCGGATTCCTTATCCGCAAAATGGACGTTTCTTTTCTCGAGGTGGACGCCCGGACGCGGCGGCCATCTTGGAGTCGCCGCGCCCGGCGCGGAGGGTCGCGCCGTGTTGGCCGCGACTCTCTATTGTCTCCTTTCCTCGACGAGCTCGTTTTGTCGCGACGTCTTGAAACGGGATGCATTTTCCGAGGAACCCGCTCGATTGCATAACGGTTAACGGCTTCCCACGATTGCCGTGCGCGCGTTTCCTAACCTCCTCGCGTGCAGCTCGGTCGCGCATTCCGCGGATTTAGCGCCCCTCGTGCCTGTGCCGATCTAGCCGTTTTACGGCCGCCGTTGGCGAGCTCTCGTCCCTTCCTCGAGCAGCTCGACCGGCACGAGTTGCCCTCGCGGATGGCCCTTGGTCGTAAAAATATTTACGGAATATTAAACGTAGGTACTTGAAATTATACACGCATCCTCGGAAAACTTATACTCATACACTCGTCAAAGCGCGACATCGCTGACAGCTCACCGCGGTAATAATTTATGCTCCTAACCGTCAGCCGGAAAAATTGCAATTCTATCAAACCTTATCCGCACCCCTAAATCTACTTCCTATATATCCCCATGAAATATTCTTTCCCACCCGGAATAAAATTCTGCAAAAAGAATTACTCTTTTCTAAATTACCCCATTCAAGTACCATTCACCATTAATTTTGTTGCTTCGACCGGGAATTATTTTCCTGCGTGTATACCCCGAGGGAAAAATTTCGTCGTCACAGAAATATTTTGTTAATTTGGAGAATAATTATTTCACCCAAACTGAAATAGACTGAATGCAACGTAACGCCGAAAATATTTCTTTTAATATTCAAAGACCCACTCAATGAAACGTTTCTTGGATTCGAGGTATTTTTTTTTCTCCTCGGGGTATGTATACCGAATCGGCCTTTTAGCACTCACTTTCTATATATGAATATATTTTTCTTTTTGTTCTGAAAATTCATAACATATTCGATGATTTCCCTCGACAGGGCCTCTGCATTCCTCGGGGTTTAGCGGTCGCCTCGGCGTTTATTAACGCGGCGATTCCGCTCTTAACGACCCGACCCTTCCTCCCCGCTTGCTTGCATTACGCGGTGCATAGAGCTGCACTCGAGTACTCTTACGTCGTTACACATCCGCGGGTCAGGCCAGGACATTTTTCCGATACCTCCCGCGACCGCCTCCTCGCGTGTCCGACCCCTCTCGGGCCCCGTGGGAAGTCGGCATTCCGGGCGCTCAATGCACCGTGCTGCACCGTGCTGCACCAGCCGGGGCATATGCATCCGAGGCGAAGATGTGCAATTAGGCCCCAGTTTCCCTGCCTTCCTGTTCGCAGCCACTCCCGTTATCGGCGATTTAAAATTTCCCCCCGGCCCTCGGCTAAACTCGCCACTTCCTCGAGATGCACTTTTACATATGCATCTCTTCGAGATGCAGCTTCTAATCGCGTCCGATTAAATGAACGCGAGAAGCGGGGGAAGCGACTCGATTGTCCGACGCCACTCTCGGCGGGTGGTGCACTTTTGGGGCGATCCCCAAAAATTAATAGAAGGGCCGGGGAGGTTTTGCAATTTTCGCCACCCGGGTTTGCATTAATTCAGTTAAATCCAGGCTCGAGGAACCCCGTGAAATTGAATAGGGTCGGAAATCAATTTCGCCCCAGATATGTCGCGCGAGGACGCGAACTCGAGAACGGTGGATGCATTCCCGAGCGGCCCCTGGAAATCAGAAACTGGAACGGGTAACGAAAGTAGCGACGAAACGCGAGAACGCGAGCTCGCTCTTTTAGCCCCGACGAAATTGCCGGGATAAAGCGCAATCGGAAACCGGCGCTGTTATCGTGCCGGCCTCCTCCCTCCTTCCCCCGCGGTCGAAATAAAAATGGCTTGGTTTCCGCCGCTGTAAAATAGGAACGAACGGCTGGGTCTGTAATTCCTCGGAATGGACCGGAATATGTCCCCGATCCTCCGATTTTTATCTATCCGCTGTTTCCCGCATTAGATGGACAAAAAAAAAAATGCGGCGGAAATGGGAGAATACATCCCGCGAAATCGGGACCCGAGTTGTCTCGGTTTCGCGAGGAAATCCTTAAGGTGATGTGAAAGTGGCGCCGAAGAGGTTTGGTTTATATATCTTTTCTCCCAACTCGGTTTACCGAATCGTTTGAAACTTTACAACGTGAATAGGGAGACTATAAGGAAGGTCCTGAAACTGATGAAATTTCAATTCTTTTCAAATTTGTTTCTAGGTATTTTAAAAATAGTTTATAAAAAAATTTCCCGAGTTTCAGGACCTATCTTAGGGTCTCCATATCCACGTTTTAAAGTATGAAACGATTTGAGACGTTTAGTTCGTAAAAATGTTTTATGAACGATTGAGCTTTCGGATGCCACTTTCACATCCCCTTAAAGTGATGTGAAAGTGGTGTCGAAGAGGTTTGGTTTATATATCTTTTCTCCCAACTCGGTATACTGAATCGTTTGAAACTTTACAACGTGAATAGGGAGACTATAAGGAAGGTCCTGAAACGGATGAAATTTCAATTCTTTTCCAATTTGTGTCTAGGTATTTTAAAAATAGTTTATAAAAAATGAAATGTCACGAGTTTCAGGACCTATCTTATGGTCTCCATATCCACATTTCAAAGTATGAAACGATTTGAGACGCCCAGTTCGAAGAATAGTTTTATGAACGATTGAGCTTTCGCTGCCACTTTCACATCCCCTTAAGGCGATATAAAAGTCCCCTAATCGTTCGATTATGAAGCTTTCCTCCACCCTGGGTGTACCGAACCGTATCGAACTCTCCACCGAGAATATGAAGGCCCCAAGGAAGGTCCCGACACCGGTGAAATTTAAATCTTATAAATGCTTGTTAGTTACAACTTTTTATTATTATTACTATATATATATAAACCGAAATTTCATGGATGCAGAGACCTTCCTTATAGCCTCCATATTCTCGGTCTAGGGTTTGAAACGATTCGGTGCACCCAGGGTGGTGGAAATGGTCCCTGAGATGTCATTATTATATCCCCTTAAGGATTACGCGGATTAGATTCCACTTCCTTATCTTTCCTTTCTCTCGAAAGATTTTTTCTTTCCTATACGAAGGATTAACCTTTTATTTACTTTTCCGGGGAATTCGCAGCCCATTGTCAGGCCGCATTCCCGAGGTGCACATTCTTATCGCGTTGGCACTCCCCTGCGTGGTGCGAGAGCAACCCTGCGGTCAGGCCGTAATGTCAATGTCAGTCCGACACGCGTGCGAGTGCGTGACACGCGCATTCTCGCGGGACGTTTTTTCTTCCCCGCGAAAGGGTCCGGCCTGGTCGCTCCCGACGACGGGTCCCGATAATCGAGCCCCCCCTCGATTCGATTTTTATCACTCGAAACAACCGGCTCGTGCTTAATGGCGGCGATAAACCAGTCCCCGGACTCGTTCTCAGGCGGCGCAGGCGGGACTCCCTCGGCCGCCAGGAAATAACGGTTCGATCCTGGACCATTGACTTTTCTGGCGGATCGATCGGTCCGATCTGGGTCCGAGATCTGGAACGACGTCGTCCGCTTCCCTTTGTTTTTCGTAA